TTTTTTTAAGCTATGAATTTTAAATTGGTATATTTTAATCTGGATGGTTTAGATGTGTAAGGGTCATTTTAATCCTAGGTTTAGGTGTTTTAACTTATTTCAATAGTGTATTGTATTTTAATCTATGTTGTACCCTGCCTTGAGCCTTGGAGAGAGGCAGGTAAGAAATAAAAATTATTATTACAGTAGACCTTTGGTATACACTGGGGTTTGGTTCCAGGACCCCCGTGGATACCAAAATCCGTGAATGCTCAAGTCCCATTAAACATAATGGCATAGTGAAGTGCTGTCCCTTATATAAAATAGCAAAATCAAGGTTTGCTTTTTGGAATTTATATCTTTTTGGAATATTTTCCAACCGTGGATAGTTGAATCCGTGGATTAAAAAATTAATAAATAATCCGTGCCTCTGCCAGGATCCACCTCTACTCAAAACCACCTTAAACACCAGTTTAAACAAACATCTTGAAAAAGATGCAGGTCTGCTGTGATCCAACACAATCATTTTTCTTCTCTTATATATTTTTTTAAAACACTTTTGTCTGATAAAGAAGCCAGTGAGCTTCAAAAGCTAGCATAATGTATTTTGCACCTTTTGGTTGGCCTAATAAAGATACCAACTGGGATTCACTATTGCGATTACAGATTCATAAATTATGCATCCGTAACTGATTCCAGTTCAGGGTCCCTACTGCCACAATCCTATATGCCTCCCAGGCTGCATCCACATTAGAGAAATCTAGTTTGACACCACTTTAACTGCCATGGCTCAATGCTATTGAATTCTGGTTTGTTGTGGCACAAGAGCTCTCTGACAGAGAAAGCTAAACGTCTCACAAAACTACGATTCCCGGAATTCCATAGCATTCCAAGGCAATTAACATAGTGTCAAATTGGATTATTTCTGCAGTGCCGATGCAGCTTCAATCCCGCCTTCCCCAGATTTTTAGCACTGAAGTAACTTGAAACTTCAGTTGAGCACTTTAGAAATACAGTTTAAGCATCTAAAGAAAAGGGTCAGGCAA